TGCCCCCCCCCCCCCCGTCAAAATGAAGTTCGGGCAAATTATAAACATAATCCAGGAAAAAATTTGGGGAAATTCATTTTAAAAAGAAGACATATGCAATAAAGTATTTGAAAATACCAGAAATATGTGAAACTAACATGGAATTTTGGTCAAATAGGAAACATTTTTTCATCAACAACAAATTTGGAAAGTGTACACTGAAAATTTTTTTCAGTATTCGGGCACAATGGGGAAAACTCGGGCAAATTGCTTTCTGTCCCCCAGATTTTTCCCTCCTGCATGCCTATGATAGATGCAAAATGTTCCAAGTTACTTGAAAATAATTATTATTGTTCATGTTTAACTATAAATGTTATAAATTCAGTTGATAATTTCAAGAGCAATAAGTCTTCAACCCATATATTAATATACAGTGAAAATGTTTTGCTTTTCAGCAAAATGCATTCTAAACAAAAGGAAAAAATGAACAGTTAAAATTAACAGAAAAATTACCTGAGTCTTTCAAATTATTCGAAAATGTAGTATCTTCATCACTATTTTCACTTTCTTTCATTGTATCTAATATAGACACTGGTGTGATGTTGTGTCGATTTGCCAAAATTTGATCCATTTGGTCGAAAAACTTCCATTTCTTTTGTTTTCCATTGCCAGACTTCCTTGTCTTGTCCTTCTCTGTTTTATATTTTTGGCGTAATTTTTTCATTTTGTTAACTACCGCCTTTAACGTAAGATCTGTATAACCTTTGGCATGGAGTTGTTCCTATAAAAAAATTAAATAGCTAAAAGATTATATAACTTTAATATCACAAAATATGTCTTATTAATATGGTAGTTGGTACGTTTCACGTAATTGTATTTTTAAGATATATATTTTAGATTAAAATCTGAATTTTGCACCTCAATAACCCATGCATGCAGTGACACTGGTCATATAAGTTAAGTCAAGTATAAACTGTATGGTCTATGGAGCCCGAGTACAGCTGGATGGCATTGACATGTCCTTGACCTGGGCCACATGCCAAAAGTTGATCGCTAAGCCTAAGGCGTACTACTTCACTACTCACTACTGTACAGCAACACAACTTACGAGCAATGTCTTGTAGACTTTGTTGCTTTGTGTCGGTGTTTTGGCATTTTCCAATGCTACTTGAATGACTTCATTGCTCCACGATTCTATTAAATCTTTCGTTTCCCCATCCGACCAAAGCTTTCCCCTGCTGTTCTTGACTGCCGCCATTTTGCAAATAATAATTAATCTGCGCATGATCAACAATAAAAAATTGCTGATGCAACACTATTTTGGGCACGGTGCCCATGTTTTAACGGGCCGAGACTACCTTTTGAAGCGGTCTCGGCACGGATAAATTAAGGGTCTGCGGACCTATATTTTACCTGTTTACACGACAAATCGTAAGAGTGCCGTACCAGTTTTTTTGGCCTGCGTGCCAAAAATTAAGCGTGCCGTGCCAAAAATGCTTGTCGTGTAAACGCGCCTTATAAATGACTTAGCGTTGAGGGCTGTTTATATGGTTCCGCTTACCCGGGATTCAATGATACTTTAAATACCGGTTTAAATATAGGCGGCCCAATCTCGCAAGGGTCAGTATAGACTTATAGTATGTATATTATATTAATGTATATTATAGTAAAAATATGTCGTAAAATGTAAATTTTAAAATGAATTTGACTTGCCTATTTGATAGTGTGTGTTCTCCTTTTATTCCTCCTTTTTTGGACTAATATTTTCCGAGACTTTGTACTCGATGTTACTAATATACATGAAACATGATAAAGGCTAACTATTTCCGATCGTCGATACGACGGCACGGCATTTCGAATCGAAAATTTTCACACTCAAATCGCTTTATTCTCCAAAAAAAATCGCCAGCATGTACAACAAATGCCGTTCTTCGAAAACACGGAGGTATTT